TATTAAAAATTGTGATAGTGAAGTGAGCAAAGATTTTAGGATTCTCCTAAAATCACTGTGTGAACTTTTGCATTATAGAGCAATCCTGCCTTTTTGTTTTTCAGAACCATGCTATACTTGAACATAGTTTTGTTTTTTTTTTCTTTCGATTGTCAATTCTTGGATTTTTTTTTTTTTGGAAAGATTAATTATTTTTACTTCCAGCTTGTGTGGCTTGTCAGCCTAGCTTTTTATTCCTTCTACCTATTTTTCTGAATTATGTAAGAATTGTAAAATGATTGAGATAATGGGACAATAGGCCCAGCATGGTGGGCTAGCAGCTAAAGTCCTCGCCTTGAACGCACCAGAATCCCATATGGGCGCCGGTTTTAATTCCGGCAGCTCCACTTGCCATCCAGCTCCCTGCTTGTGCACAGCACTGGCCGTTGTAGTCACTTGGGGGAGTGAATCATTGAACGAAAGATCTTCTCTGTCTCTCCTCCTCTCTGTATATCTGACTTTGTAATAAAAATAAATAAATCTTTAAAAAAGAGAGAGAGATAATGGGAGAATGATAACGAGCCCATATTCAGTAATAATCACCATTTTTGTGATGCATTGTGGCTCAGAAAACCCTTTAATGTGTCGGATCCCCTTTGCAATTCCTGTAGCCTTGTGTACTGGGAATTGTTGCTAAAGTTGTGTTTTTGGAGTGGAACCCTGAAGTTCAGAGCCTGGGACAAGACTTCTGTTACAAACACTGTGTTCCATATAGCTGTAACATCCAGGAACCAGAACTCCATTGCCCACATGGGTGACAGGGCCTTAAGTACGTGGGTTATCTTCTGTTGCCTTTCCAGTTGTGTTTCTGGAGTAGCTGGAACTCAAATGGAAAGCCAACATTGCTTAATGTGTTGCGCTATAATCCTGGCCCCTAGTTTGCATTTTGTGATCAAATTATACTTTATTGGAAGAGAGCAGACTCAGGTATGTGTCATATATTTTGATTACAATATGTACTTCTGAATTGAATGGGCTTAATGAATAGTTAATCTTTATAATGATGCAGTATCTTTTTGTCTTAAAGGTTGTGACTATGCCAAAGAAAGTGCTTATTTAAAAAAAAAGTTTTGCAGGCCAGCATTTGTAACATAGCATTTAAGCCCCCGCCTGTGATGCCAGCATGCCACGTGGGTACTGGTTTAAGTACCAGCTGCTCTACTTTCAATTTAACTCCCTGCTAATATGCCTGGGAAGGCAGTGAAAGATGGCCCAATTGCTTGGGCCCTTCACCCTTGTGGGAGACCCAGATGAAGCTCAAAGCTTCTAGCTTTCGGCCTAGCCCAGCCCTGGCTGTAGAGAGTATTTGGGGAGTGAACTAGCAGATGGGATATCTCTTTCTCTTCCCATGTAACCTTGACTTTCAGATAAATAAATTAATTTTAAAAGCCTTGAAAATACTTATCTAATCCTTTGGTAATGTGAGTGTAGTTGATGAACATTTCTAATTTTATTCAAATGATATCATTTAAAGTTTATTCTAAGTATAGGGTTTTTGGTGCTGTTTAAATTTTAACAGTTTCATTTGCAGGTGTTTGTTGTTAGTCTACAAAATTGTAGTTGACGTATCTGTTGAACTGTAACCTGCTAAGAAGAAATATAAACAGCCCCTAAGGAAATGAAAAAATGCCCAAAACTAGCCACCAGGGAAATGGAAATCAAAGCCACAATGAGACACCACTTCACGCCCATTAGAATGACTAGTATCAAAAAGACAGAGTAATAAATGCTGGACAAGGGGTACTCTTATTTGCTATTGGTGGGAATGTAAATTAGTGCAGTCAATTTGGAAATTTCTATGATAATAAATTTAAACAATTTATTTGAAAGCCAGAGCTACAAAGGGAGACTGAGATAGATAGATACAGAAAGAGAGAGAAGAAGTGAGGGAGAGAGGTTGGGAGGGAGGGAGAGAGAGAGGGAGAGAGAAAGAGAGAGAGAGTATGTGTGTGTGAGTTCAGTTATTGGTTTACCCCAGATGGCTTCAATGATTAAAACTGAGCCAGGAGCCTGGAGCTTCATTTGGATCTCTCGTATGAGAGCAGCAGCCCTAACACGTGGCCAAGTTCTGCTGCTTTTATGAGGCTGATCTGGTGTGGTGGATAAAGCCTCTGCTTGTGAGGCCATCATATCATGTGGGCACTGGTTTATGTACTGGCTGTTCCACTTCCAATCCAGCTGTGTCAGTGGCCAAGGAGAAGTGTGGGAATTTCTCAGAAATACTAGAAATAGAACTGCCATTTGCTCTAGCAATCCCATTACTGGCTAGATATCCCAAAGATACGTAGTTACTGTATTAGACATATACCTGCTCTGCCATGGTTTTTGTAGCACTTTTTACGATATCCAAGATAGAGACCAACCAAGTTGCCCTTTCTGATTTGAATGGATAAATGTGAATTATATACACAATAGAATATTATTCTATAAAAAAGAATGAAATCTTGTCATCTGCAGGAAAGTGAATAGAACTAGAACTTTATGTGCAGTGAATTAAGCCAGACGCAGAGAGAAAAATACTTCATATTCTCATGTGGGAACTAGCAACAAAGACAAAAGAAAGAATTCCACAAACAACATGTCAGTCTGAACACAGCTCGTGATTCCGAGCGGCTGGGAGGGGTTGGGGGCATAAACGGAGTTTGCACAGAAAAACTAGGGGAAGCTGGGTGTGGTCCTAGATAGTTCTACAAATTTATTATACTAACAGGAGAGATTCATAATAGAGGAAGTGGGGGGTGGTTTGTAGATTGTGACAAGTATATCCTACAATATAAGATGTTAATGATAAGAGCAACTGGGTGTAGGGCACATGGGAACTGTTTGTACAACTTCACATTTCTCATTTAGTAAATGTAAAACTAGTATAAAATAAAAAGTTTAAGAAGATAAGGATTATTATTTCCCTGGGGAAAAACACAAAAATGAACAAAACTAGTCTGTTTGCTGGTTGCATTTGACACAGACTCAGTCTCACTGCAGATGGGTAAGAGATTATCCAATTTTCAGAAACATATGTCTTAGTGTACATGTGTTCATAAAAACATACTGCAAGTCAGTAATACTGAAAAATACTCTCTGTGATGTGGCATTTACTCTGCATCACATTTCCCCTAAGGCTAAGTGCTATAATGTTGAGAAACACTTGAATTCAAAAATAGTAGTGACATTTATCAATGCAATTTGTATTCGAATGTTATTTAAAATGGAATAAACATGTGCTTTCAACTTCAGAAATTTTATTAATATTATAGAGTTATGTTCTCAATATGATTTTCTAAGAAATTACATTACTTTTGGAGGGAGACAAACACTCATTTGTTTAAAACGTGCATTTCTGATATTTGTTTTTTGCACAGTAATATTTTCAATTCTTTTCTTTTTAGAGATTTATTTATTTTTCCTTGAAAGGTAGGGTTATAGAGAGAAGGAGAGGCAGAGAGAGAGAGATTTCTTCCATCCACTGGTTCACTCCTTAAATGGCCACAGTAGTCAGGGCTAGGCCAGGCTGCAGCGAGGAGCTGGGTTCTTCTTCCAAGGCTCTCACGTGGCTGCAGGGATCCAAGCAGTTGGGTCACCCTTTACTGTTTTCCCAGGCACTTACAGGGAACTAGATCACAAATGGAGCCGTGGGGACCATACCTGGCACCTACGTGGGATGTCAGCACTACAGGTGTGGCCTGTCTAACCCTCTATGCCACAACGCTCTCCCCTACATTTTCAATGCCGAGAAAAAATTCCCATATAGGTCTTTCCTAGTGGTGATTTTTACTTGTTTGTAGATTTCCTAGGATTCTCCACATAGGTTGCATTGTTATCAGCAAATAAAGACCATTTTCTTGTGATTTTTCTCCCTTTTCCCTCCCTCTCTTCCTTCTTTTTGCTTGCAACAGTGAATTTGTTGTACAGAGAAGCTACTTTTTGTATATTAATAGTGAGCCTCGGTGCCTGTTTGGCGTTATAATGAATTACAGTGTAGACATTTTGATAGATGTTTTTGGCAAATTTTATAGCTTGTTCACTTAAAAAAAATTGGAGTGTAATACCAACAGGAGCTTAATAAAACCCACTTTGAGAAAAGAATGGCTCATTTTATTTTGTAAGTTTACAAAGCAACAAGCTGGGCAGAGTGAGGGAAGAGAGGAGGTGAAGCTGATCTAGGTCCTGTGTTTACCATGTGAAGGGTGTCCTGGACCGGTCATTGTAGCAGTAGATCTTTAAATAATGCCATTTGCTGTGAAACGTGGCAGGAGGGAGACAAAGAGGCGTAGATTCATTTCTAATCTGGATGCTCTCAAGCTGTGTGAACTAGGGTAAGGAGTTAGCCTTAGTCTTTAAGAGGCATAAAATAAAAATAATATAAGCAGCTCGCTGAAGTTAGTGCTAGAAAGAACCCATTTCCTATAGTCTCCTATAGTCCCTGGCACATGCCAGGCTGTGATTATGATAGGACGCCATCCTTTATTATTTACCTATTAGATTATTTATTTGTTAAATTGGTATAACTTACTCGTGTGTCATCTAATGAGGAAGCAGTATGTCTTTAGAAACCCATCCTGCTGAAAGGATCCAGGGCTTGATGCCCCTGGCGACTTGCATCAACGAATGCGGGAGAATGACGATGCAGTATCACCATCTTTACTTGGATCCCTTGCCAGTTTTTTTCTGTCCGGTATCATCTCATTTTAGAGAGTCGGGCAAGCAGGTTTATTTCCTAGGGCCGCTGAGTGTATGGAGTACTTGGCTGTCTAGCAGTACCTGGGACCCGGCGCCGGGGTGCGAGCTGCTGCTGTGGGTGGCTGTGTAGCCACTGAAGGATTGCGGCAGATGGCAAGAGCCACAGTAGTGTATGCCAGACTTCGTAGGCACCGCTGGTCTTCCTTCCCCTTCCCTTGTCTCCATGTTGACTCCTGTTAGCCATGTATGCTTGGCTAATGCTGTACCTGTCTCTTTTTTTCTAGAATTCTGAAGGTGGACTCTATGTCTGCATGAACACCTTTTTGGCCTTTGGAAGGGAACATGTTGAAAGACATTTTCGAAAAACTGGACAGAGTGTATACATGCACCTGAAAAGACATGTGCGAGAGGTGAGAAACACGCTTTTGGTAAATGGACCTTGGTGAGGTTGACACTGACGTCGCTTAGTGTCTTTGTCAGGTGGGGATTTTACTGGGCCCGCATGACTTCTGCTTCTGTTCGACAGTGGAAAACAGAAACGGCACTGCATGTGGAAATTCATAGAGTCCTCCCAACCCTTTCTTCTTCTTTTTTTTAAAGATTTATTTTTATTATGTTTTTATTGGAAAGGCGGATATAGAGAGAGGAGAGACAGAGAGGAAGATCTTCCGTCCGATGATTCACTCCCCAAGTGAGCGCAACGGCCGATGCTATGCCGATCCGAAGCCAGGAGCCTCTTCTGGGTCTCCCACGCGGGTGCAGTGTCCCAAAGCTTTGGGCTGTCCTCGACTGCTTTCCCGGGCCACAGGCAGGGAGCTGGAAGGGAAGCGGGGCTGCCGGGATTAGAACCGGCGCCCATATGGGATCCCGGGCATGCAAGGTGAGGACCTTAACCACTTGCGCCACCACGCCAGGCCCAACCCTTTCTTCTTAAAATCAAGAAAACATAGGTTGAGTTCTTGGCAGGAATATGTATAAATTTAAAAAGACAAGATTAAGGAAAAGGATATGAGAGATGTTCGTATGTCCAAAAATTAGACATAGAAAAGTCTGGTTAGTTTTGCTTCAAACCTAAGACAATTTATTTTTCTTTTATGAGAGCGAGCAAGCTTTCCTGGAAGTTCAAGCCTCATTTGTCACCTTCCCGTCCCCAGAAGCAACCTCTGCTGTGAATTGATCATTCTCACAAATGCAATCATTATATTTATTTGCAAATATATGTATTTGTGCACAGTATATTGTATGACTCTGGAGATGTGAAAGGTGTAGATAAACGCTATTATACTGATACCTGTAATTCTATGTAGTTTTCCCCACTGAGCCTTGAGGTTTGAGTCTCTCTACATGGAGATGCACCTGGATTTGCTTAATTCATTTTAATCCTTGTTGAAACAGTCTATTTGATGAATACCTTATAATTTATTCTTCTCCCACAGAGGAACATTTAGATTGTTGCCTCTTTTTTTTTTTTTGCTACTGCATGCAAACAGCAATTAACATTTTTATGCCTTCCTCCTGGGGGCACAATAGACACAACTTTGTTAAAAATACGTCTAGAAGCGGTTTGGCTGGTTCCCGAGTGAGCTTCCCTGGCTTTTTACCAGCCGCCCCATGATGGTACGCATGCGCACTCCTCCTTGCCCATGATGGTTCGCATGCACACTCCTCCTTGCCCATGATGGTTTGCATGCGCACTCCTCCTTGCCCATGATGGTACGCATGCGCACTCCTCCTTGCCCATGATGGTTTGCATGCGCACTCCTCCTTGCCCATGATGGTACGCATGCGCACTCCTCCTTGCCCATGATGGTTCGCATGCGCACTCCTCCTTGCCCATGATGGTTCGCATGCGCACTCCTCCTTGCCCATGATGGTACGCAAGCGCACTCCTCCTAGCCCATGATGGTTCGCATGCGCACTCCTCCTTGCCCATGATGGTACGCATGCGCACTCCTCCTTGCCCATGATGGTACGCATGCGCACTCCTCCTTGCCCATGATGGTACGCATGCGCACTCTTCCTTGCAGTGGCTGTGGATGTCTGGTGTCCTCACACCGCGCCATTTGATGCTGCATTTTCTTGTGTCAGGGTGGATCGTCTTTTCATATAGTTATTATCCAGCTAAGTCTTGTCTTTGTCTATTTTGGTCTATTTCTTGGTGAGCCCTTTTTTTTAAAAATGTAACTTCATCAGTTTTTTACATTTTGTAAAAATTTTTGAAATACAAGACTTTTTTTTTTTTAACTGTTTTTAGCTTGTCTTTTAACTTTGTTCATGAATGGCTTTATAGATAGATGTTTTAAATTTTGTTGTAATTAGGTTCGGCAAACTTCCACCTGTGACTTTCCCTTTTTGGTATTTTTGGCTAAAAGCTTATTTCCCAACTCAATATTCTAAAGCTATTTCTTATAGTATTTTTTAAAAAAATAAATATGTGTGCATGTGAGTGTGAATATGTTTTAACATTATAAGTCTTTAGTCATAATTTATTTTTGTGTTTGTATAAAGAACTCAAATATTTTCCCCATATTGATGGTTAATTGACCAATTATTAGTAGAGCAGTACAATCTTTTGCATTGATTTATAGTATCATCTTACATATGTATTTAAAGATTTATTTATTCACTTTGAAGTTCAGAGTTGCAGAAAGAGAGGGAGACATGGCTAGAGATCTTCCATCTGCTGCCTCACTCCCCAGATGGCCACAATAGCTGGCATGTACCAGACTGAAGCCAGGAGCAGGGAACTTCATCTGAGTCTCCCACGTGGGTGAAGAATTCCAAACATCTAGGCCATCTTCTGCTTCTTTTCCAGGCAGGGAATCAGATTGGAGGAGAGCAGGCAGGACACAAACCAGCCCCCTTATGGGAGGCTGGCATCTTAGGCAGCTTTCCCTTACAATGCCACAATGCTGGCCCTTATCCTTTTTTATATTTTAAATTACCTTTCACATGGGTCTATTTTGGGCCTCTCACTTGTATTCTGTATTCGTCTCTGCATTAGTGGGGCAGGCCTTAATATTTGGTACTGCAAACATGTTTTGCATGTTCTTTTTTTTTTCTTGTACATTTTCTATGTGTCTTTAGACATTTATGTTTCTGAAATGGATGTTCTAATCAGTTCCTCAAGTTACAAAGTCCTGCGATTTGATCTCAGCTGCATTTTCATTTATAGATTGATCTGTAGCTATGTCATTGCGTAAGCTGCATGAGGAAGGGTCAGGGTTGTCCCTCTGTGTTGTGTCCATGGCTGTGTCCTGAGTACCTCACCATTACTAGCTTCATGAATATTTATTGAATGACCAATCAACATAGCATATTTCCATGTTTACTCAGGTCTCTTTAATGTCATTGAATGATATTCTTTTTTAGTTTCTCCTCCAGTTTTTGCAGAGAAGTCTTCTGTCTCTCCTCACAGTCAATTCTGTGTTTTCCTACCTTCGGAAACTTGCAATGTCATTAATTCCACTCCCTTTATGGCTGCAACTTTTCTTATTTCTGTTTTATCTTCTCCTTCCTAAAGAAGGATCACATCATGAAGCTCACTGCCCTGTTTCCCCCCCTGCCCCTTGACTCATCACATCCTTCAGTTAGAGCTTCTGCTATCCTTGTCTCAGCTTCATTGCCCTTTAAGGGTTTGCCATCAGTGTGTTTGGCCCTGTTCCTGCATGTGAACTCGGTGAAATTGCCCCTGTTGTCAGGGAGCTCTTAGTCGCTGCATTTGGTGCATTCCTGAGTTGTCAGCATTTCCAGCCATGCCATTTGACCATCCCGTCTTCTTTCTCTGAAAGATCCTGTTCCTCGTTGGTGCACTTTCAGGCACATGGATATCCTTGTTCAACCACTGTCCATGCTGATGACTTCCACATTGATATCTAGCCAGAGCTGAAGGTCTGAATATTTGACTCTTTCAGGATTTTTCTTTTCCAACAGGTCCCTCAAGTTCAGGGGTCAAGGATGACCAACTTATCCTTTTCTAACGATTGTCCTTTTTGAATTCTAGAGATCGAGATCTCCTTTGGGTTGCTTTTCTTCTGTGATTTGTAGATTACAAGTTTTACTTGGGCTTTCCAAACAACGCTCAAGTGTATGCTTTCTCCTCCAAGTCTTCTATCTCTGTCTGAATGCTTAGTATCCCTTAAAAGGACCAATGCTTTAGCTTCCCAACCACCCTTCTTTCCTTTGGTCCCATCTGGTTGGTATAACATTCCCAGGGTGATCTTTCCAAATCCATATATTGCAGTTGTGGCACAATGAAGCTTAGATCCCTGATGTCTCTCCTGAAGGGGAGGGTGATGCCCATACTCTCTTGCATGTTACTAGAAGATGTTCATGAGCTGCCCCCCTACTCTTCATAGCCTTCACTCTTAGACACCAACTTTATGCTATAGACATAGCAAACTACTTTCCTTTCTGGAACACACTGTGATTTCATGCTTTTGTCCATGCTGTTTTCTTTGTCTAAGATGCCTTACTTCTATGTTTACCTTTTGCACTCCTTGTGGCCAGAATACTCACCCATCCATCCATCCATCCATCCATCCATCTAAATGCCCATCCATCTGCCCATTCATTCATCCATCCATCCACATACCAAGTGTTTACTAAAATAGCTGCCATCTGCATGCCTACTGCTCTTCTTATCTTACCAGGCCTGCTTACATCCCCATTCCTAGATGAACCTATCATTTCCTCTTTATAATGTAATTATGTTTTTAACACTCACTGATTTTGTTGTGGTTTACTTATGTGTGTGTGCACTTACTGTGCTGCTGAGCACCTGAAAAGAAGGAATATATCTTTGTTTAATTTCTACTCTAAGATCTAGCACAGAATCTGAAATGTGGTACAGTCATGATTTCTGAACAAGGGGTTTCGGTTTCTCAAACTCTGTTGATTTCTGTTGACTGCTGAGAGGTGATGGTCTTTATAAGGGAAATTTTTTCTGTTTTGTCTAAGAGGAAGTGTAGCTCACTTGAGTCTAAGCTTGTGAAGGCATGAATCCCACAACCAGGGAGAGCCTCAGGTACCAGCAAATCTGTCTGCATCTCCTCCTCTTCATTTACCCTGCATGCATTGTATAGGATTGGGTGAGGGGGCAGAGAGGTTGGAGCACTGTAAACATCTGTAGAGAGGTATCAGGTGACCTGTAGGATTGTTGAACATGCCTTTAGTACAGGCTTCATTTCAACCGAAGGCAGAGGAGAGGACAGAGCAGACCATGTAACACAGAGGTTCTTTTAGGTTAATGGGTTCAGTAATTTTGAGATCCCTAAGATGTGAACTGTAAACCTAAAGTAGTAATTGTAAAACTTAAGCTGAGACTCACAAAGATGAGTCTTTTAGTGTCAAATAATAAAGTGTGAGACTCGAGACTGATGAGAAGACAGAGCTGATGAGTGGTAGTGTGGCCTTGATGCACATGGCTATCTGGAAGGAGGCCTGGGTTAGGTCTGCACACTCTGGGCAGATTCACCATGGAAGTATTGGTCATTTTCTTTTTTTTTTTTTTTAAAGATGTATTTATTTTCACTACAAAGCCAGACATACAGAGAGGAGGAGAGACAGAGAGGAAGATCCTCCAACCGATGACTCACTCCCCAAGTGAGCGCAATGGCCGGTGCTGTGCCAATCCAAAGACAGGAGCCAGGAACCTCCTCCAGGTCTTCCACACAGGCACAGGATCCCAAAGCTTTGGGCTGTCCTCGACTGCCTTCCCAAGACACAAGCAGGGAGCTGGATGGGAAGTGGAGCCGCCGGGACCAGAACAGGTGCCCACATGGGATCCCAGTGTGTTCAAGGCGAGGACTTCAGCTGCCACTCCACCACTCCGGGCCCTGTTGGTCATTTTCAAAGATTATTAGCACCCTATTTGCGAATAAGATGACCTCTTATGTGAGCATCAGATGGATGCCCTCTTGCATCAGCACTGATGGGCATTCATTTCATGGCTGCTGAGGACCCTACCATCCATAGAAATACCCAGAGCACATGGCCATCTGTTGTTGCCCTTCTGAGTTTACAGAAGTTGCATTGCAGTTTATCATGACCAGCGTATCAGTGACTATCTGACAGTATTCACTAAATCTTTTAACAGTATTTGCTGAGCACTCCCAGGACCAGGTACTGGTGACCCTCCCTGGGTAAGGAAGGATAAAAGGCCCTCCCTTTGTGGAGCCCCCTCCTCTTTTCCCAAGCCTCTCATTGTCAGGCACAGACCCAGCCCTCTTGGGAGCATGTACTAATGGAGGTGGTTCAAGCATCTGCTTCACCCAGGTCTTGTTTCTACTTTCTTTCCAGAAGTGCTTTCTATATTACTGGGGAAAATAATCAGGAGAGGGTAACAGCACTGCCCTTCATTGCCCTGCTGCAAGTTTCTGCTTATTCTGGAATCTCTCATCCTTTTATAAAAACTGGGGACCCGTGAGATGTACTCCCTTCCTTCCAACAGGACTGTTTATTCTACAGGCTGCATTTTAATCAACTCTTATTTTCTTTTCAGAAGGTAAGAGGGGCATCTGGTGGTGCTTTACCAAAAAGGAGGAATTCCAAGATATTTTTAGGTAATGTACATAGTTATCAGTAGTGTGCCCGAATTGTGTGTGTGTGTGTGTGTGTGTGTGTGTGCGCATGCGTATGCTCAAATGCATGTTTGACTTGGACCAATAGGTTGTTTATTGTTCTACAATTAAAGGTAAGAGGCATAATCTAAATTGGGAGGCTCTGACTCCACTTTGCATTTTGCTAGTGGTGAGGCATGATTGTAACTCTCTTAATGGGGTTGCAGCTTTGGAGCAATTATACTTTCAGTGACCAGAGAATTATCGTGATTCTGCTTTTGATCAGTCTTTCTGATTACTTCAAAGAAGAGACCATTTTTTTCAAGATTAGCCAAACTGCAGACTTTATTGAGATGTCAGCATTCCCTGCCTCCACTCCTACTCCCCAGTCTGTCCACTGAGGTCTATTTTGGTTTACAGAATATCACCTGGGATCCCAAACTGTGAGCAGTTGTTACTTTCCCTCAACCTGCTCCTTAGTCTCTCGTTATCTTTTGTAATTGTAACACTTCTGAAGGGGGCTGACCTGTTAGCTTATAAAGTGCACCTTGATTTGGTTTAGTCTTTTGTTTGCTCAAGAAAAGCCTAACGCATGCTTTCTCTGATGAGATACTTCTGAGATACAGTTAGTGTATCCTTCTTTGTATAAGATATCGGGGATGTGACATTGATGTGCAGTTCACACTACTGATGTAGAACTTTTTCATTTATTTAGGCAGTGTTTCAGGAGAATCTCCATGGTAAATTTATAGTGTAGTTAGTAAAACTCTTAGGGGTTGTACTTTTTAAAAAAAATAAAAAAATTATTTCTGTATGTGTGTGTGAGAGATAGCTATTTTGCTGGTTTGTTTGCTAGATACTCATAATGGTCAGGATAGGGCTGAGGTGGAGCCTGAACTGGGAATTCAATCCAGGTTTTTCATGTGGGTGGTAGAGATCCGACTGCTGGAGCCATCACCTGTTGTCTCCTAGAATCTGCATTGGTAGGAGCCGGAATCCGGAGCTGCAGGAATTGAAGCCAGGCACTCCAATATCTTGTTTCTCTTGAGAATTTTGCTACCTAATTTTAGCATCCATCACTGAACTTTGCGTGCTGTGTTTATTACTGTGGTGTTTGACAAATGGTGGACTTAAATAATTTCCCTGATTTGGAAAGAGCCGGTTTTGCTGGTGTAAATGGAAATTGACTTCTATATCATGTAATTGTATTGTAGTTAATGTTATGCTTCTAGTAATGGTTTTCTCAGGAGAACGATACTTTAATAATGTTTGATCAAACAAGGTTGTATTCCCTACATGTTTGGAGTGATTGTTTGAAAGGAACTTTAAAATTGTATACAATGATTTCATTTTGATAAAAAAAAATCTTTTGGTAAAAAAATACACGTGCATGTACACGCATGCGTGAACATGTATGCACATATATGCATGCGTATATGAACATATGCATGCATATTTACATATATAATACACACATTATACACATACATGCACACCATAAATATATGAATCCTTGGATAACTAAGAGACTGGAGGAGTCTGGAAGATCACCACACTTCAACTTAATAATAGCACTTCCATGGTGTTGATATGGGAGTAATTCTAATTTTCTCCTTTTGTGTGTCTGTATAACACTATCTATAACACGCATGTTAGTATTGAGAAGACGCATGGATTATTTGAAAATGAAGCCACTGGCACAGTCCCAGACCTGGGTTTGCTTCTGATACATTTCCACTACTGTGATGGGGCCTGACCTGGCTGGCTGCTCTGTTGCTTTCCAGCTCCTGGCTTTCTTTATGAAGCTCATCTGCAGGTGGTTTTCCCCTGAACCGTCTTGCTCATGTTGCAGCATGTCTCCACACTACAACCCAATCAGCCAGCCAAACCCACGCCAGCCTTGAATGAACACTAATGCAACAAGACTGCATGTGCTCTGATGCTTTGGTTACTATCCTTGCACCAGTGTAGATATTGTGGCTTCTGAATTAAATGACATCATGTAGACCCTTGACATTTTTAAATCATGGGTCAGATAGCCTGGCTCTCCGACAGGGGACCTGGCTTTAGCCTGGCTCAACGTCAGCTGGTGAAAGCATTGGAGGAGTGAGCTAGTGGATGGGAGACCTCCCTCTCTCTTATACCAATTAAATAAATAAATAAATAAAATCCCCTCAAATTAAACAAAAGTAAAATGGAAAAACTCACAGACCAGAAAAAGTGTTTGGATTGTGCAAATTAAAAAAAAAAAAAGATTAGCTTTGAATGTTATCAGTATTCCGATGTTTCCCCAGGTCCCATTTCTCTCTAGAATTTTATTATCGAGGTTCCTTCCAAATTCGTTCACCCCTTCCTCCCATTGATTTGGCAAGCCCTGATTCATAGTTTTTCAAACAGTGCTTCTCCTCTCAGGAGCAGGCAGTTTCCTGCTGGCACACACTCACAACTCTATGTTCACGTTGATGTGGCCTGCCCGTTAACTTCAGTGACAGGCTGTGTAGGATTCCACCTGGTTTATAGAATAGGAAACATAAGACAGTGGCAAGTGTAAAGCCAGTAGATGATTATTTCTCTGTCCTGTAGGGGATGTTGGGAAGCCGCAGGTCTAGGCTGATACAATGGCCTTACGTTTGTTAGAGATCTCTTGTGTTTCTGCTGTGGTCCCATCCTTGAAAGGCAGTGTGGCAGAGGGTGAGGGTAAGGGAGAGAGGGAGGGAGGAAGGGAAAGAGAGAGAATGATTTTTCGTTATGTGGTTCATTACCCACGTAGCCTCAACAGTTGGGGCTCTGCCATGCTGAAGCCAGGAAGTAGAAACTCCCTCCAGGTCTCCCACGTGGGTGGCGGGAACTCAGAAGATCTGGACTATTATCTGTTGCCTTTCCAGGTACATTATCAGGGATCCTGATCACAAGTTGAGCAGCTGGGACTCGAATTAGGGCTCCATTATGGGATGGTAAGGGGACAAATGATGGCTTAACCTGCTTGTTCAACAACACTGCCTCCAAGCAGAACATATTTGAAAGGTTCTAGGTGTGGATCTGTTGAGAAAATTACTTGAGCCTATGGTGACCAGAAAGGGTCAAAGAAGCTCCAGGCTGCAGCTTCTTCCTGAAAGGAAAAAACAAAAACAAAAACAAAAACAAAAACCCAAAAACCAAGAAAAAACATGTTCTATGCTGAAAATTTTTTAAATTTATTTTTGATTATTTATTTTTTGCTTGTTTTCATTTTTCTGTCCCTTCATTTGAACATAAATACTTGATCACATTTTGTAGGGTTGGGACATTTTGTAAGGTTGGGTTGTTCATCTCCAACATGTACACTGAAGCTTGTGTGGTCAGAATGGGGACACTCTGGGAGCTGGAGCCCAGGTTTTATTTAGGTACTCATTCCCTGACTAGCCTTCCCAGCAGAGGCTTCTTGGAAACTGACAGAGTCCCAGCCACGACTCACAGGGTCCAGAGGGGCTCCTTGGAACACATGAAAGAATAGGTTCTTTATTCCAGAACACCAGCTCATGTGGGAATGGCCAGTTGATAGCCATGGTGGAAAGCGGCTGCTAGGGAAAGTTGGGAGTCCCAGGCCTCCAGGTCCTCGGGGAATGGTGACTCAGGTTCTTTTAACTTGACATTAATGGGGTAGTAAGACTTGATTTTAAGAAATGTGGACACTTTAGGATTACATTTAGAGCTTCAGGCTCATGTATGTTTAACAGAAACATAAGCTTTATTTCTTAAAATTAGAATGTGGGTTTCTCTGCTGGATTAAAATACTTGGGAAAGACTATGACCCTCTCCCATTGCACAGAATTAAAAATAAAAGGGAATTACAGTTATTTGCAAAGAGGTGCAATGGAGTCTACTTTTTATACAGACTCCATCATGCTTCTTTTTAAAAGGTATTTAAAGGGCCCAGCACCCTTTAGCTTAGCAGCTAAGATCCTTGCTTGTATGCGCCACGATTCCATGTGGGCGCCAGTTTGTGTCCTGGCTACCTCGCTTCCTGTTCAGCTCCCTGCTTGTGGTCTGAGAAGGCAGTGGAAGACAGACTGAGGGAGGCCTTGGGACCCTGTGCCTATGTGTGAGAACTGGAGGAGGCTGCAGGTTCCTGGCTTTGGATTGGCTCAGCTCCGGCCATGCGGCCACTTGTGAGTGGAAAGCAGATGGAAGATCTTCCTCTCTGTCTCCCCTCCTGTCTGTACATCTGACTTTCCAATAATAAATACATAAATAATGTATTTTCAAAGTAAAAAATTGAAAGGGAGAGAGACCGGGGACAGATTAGATTGAGGGAGGTTGGGGAGGAGTAGGGAGGAAGAAGAGGAGGGGGAGAGGGAGAGGCAGAGAGAGAGAGAGAGAGAGAGAAAGAGAGAGAGAGAGAGAGAACACCAGAATGTGCTCCATTTGTTGGTTGACTTCTCAAACGCTTGCCCTGGCATTGCAGTCATTTGGGGAGTGAACCAGAGAGTGGAAGACCTCTCAGTCCTGTCTCCTCTCCCTCTCTGTCTGTAATTCTGCCTTTCAGATAAAAATGAACAAATCTTTAAAAAAATTCACATGTTTTTACATGGTATAAATAATGACTATTTAAGTAATAGTCATTTGAATATTTAGATTCTAATTCTGTTTTTATTATAGCTATTGGGCATTTGAATTTTTATAACGCTAGAATGATCTTGTCTGTTTGCATTATTTGTTACAAGTAAATGTCTTTATTCTTAAACTCATGGAGTCTTCTTAAAATCACATTTTGTCCAATGAACTGCTTTGGCTCACAGTGTTTGGTATTTCTGGCTCTTGTTATTTAACATCTTTATTAAACTTTAAACTGTTTGGATTGTACTTTGGTATAATCATTTTACTTAAAAATTCACTACCTTTGGGAATTAAAGGAGCAGAGCAGCACACAAAACTGCTGTAGATTTTTGGTTGAAGGCATCCAAAGAGGTAGATAACAGAATTTGCAGCCTTTGCGTCTCAGGGAACTGCTGCTGTGGAGTCCAGCAAAACAGCCTCTGGTCTACAAAGCCATGCTCCCAGCTGGGTTTGTGTTGCTGTTTGTAGGTGAGTGTGTGAGTGTCTCATTGTCACCATAGTTCCAAGCAGTAAATACACAAACATGATCCAGGAGGCTGGCCTGGCTGTGAATGTGAGGCTGAAAGGTCCCTGCAAATATTAGGACAAGACGCTTCCTTGAGCCTTCCCCTAGCCTTTCCCTGAGATTAGCCAAGCTGAAAGGTGATGACTAGATGGATAACGAGCTCCGCACAGCTTTGCAGTCCTGAGGCTGCAGGGCTGATCTCACAAGAGGATCTCCATCTTGCGCTCGTGGGTTTGCTGGTACAACAGGGGCCTGGCAGTTCTGCAGGAGGAAAGTAGGCAGAGGGAGAGAAAGAGAGCGAGATTTTTAGTTTTAAACCATTTACTGAGGGTCTGTCACGTGCCAGGTCTTCATTTCTCTCCTCTGTAACCTCTGAGGTAAGGATTGTTTTCATGATACAGATGAGAAAGCTACAGCTTAGAGAGAGTGTGACTTGCCCAAAGTAACATTAGGTTTGGAGCCGGAACGGAACCAAGGTTTATTTACCCTCAAAGCCATTTATTTTCTTCTAGAACATAGTGTTGTAAAAAATATTCCGCCTCAAGCTGGTGCATTTGGGAGTCAGGCTTCTGACAAATGGTAATTAACAATCTTTAAGGAAGCTTAGAAAATTCTCTACAGATGCGGCGCCCAGCGCGTACATAGCTGTAAAGCATTGCCCGACTCGGTCAAGGGCGAAGCAGTCTTCATGGCTTAGGGATGGAGGAAAGACCTGTGGTTTCTGTGGGGAGCAGAGGGGTGGTCACGTGGGAGGAGTGTCCTTGCCCTTGCGTTGTGCCCCTCCGGGTGCCCGGCTTTCTCGGTCAATGCTGCCTCTTGTGGGTGCCGCCTTCCTCATTTTCTGTTCTTTATTTTTGTTTTCTCCTCAGATCTGGATACTGATGATGATTTAAATAGCGACGATTATGAGTATGAAGATGAAGCCAAACTTGTCATATTCCCAGACCACTATGAAATCGCACTGCCCAATATTGAGGAGTTGCCAGCCCTGGTCAGTGAGTGTGCACGGCTGCTAGCTAGATATGCATGATTCTCTGTGTCAGGTGTGTGTGTGTGTGTGTGTGCTGCGTGTGTGTGCGCTCAAGGGATTGGGCCTGGGAGGGTAATGAATGAGAGAAGAGGGTAAGACGAGTAGGGACATCTGTGCCTGTGACTCCCAGGGCTGTTTGAGCCTCACTGCCCGTCAGGCCAGTCTCTTTCAGGAAGCTTCCTGTGTCCCGAGTGGAAGTCTGGTCCTCAGCTTTACATGGTGTCCACATATACACACTGCTGAAGAGGAAATGTGTTCCTGTCTGAGGGAGAGCAATTTTTTTTTTTTTAATCATGTGTTTCATACTGTCCTTCAATGCAGAATTTGTTTGGAATAATGGAATGATGGTTTGATGAAGATCCAACCTTCACAATGGACTGTTTTGAGGGACTCTGGAGCCACACTCCCTGTGACTAAGACTTGCAGCTTTTAGATGCTTTTAGCAGGGAGCTTTGCCCCTCCTGTCCGTCCTTTTTGTTTCCTTTTCCCTTCTTTCAAGTCCAGTTTTGTGGAAGGACGTGCACTTTCCCAGGTGACCTGGAGCTGAGGTGGTGGGGAAGCTCTGGGCAAACCATGTGGTTTTCCTTGGACTCTCCCACCCTGCAGAATCATGGAGCCTTTTTTTTTTCCTGCCAAGGGCCATTTGAATATTTGGAATGTCATTTGCAGGCCATGCAAAATGAACTTGAACATCAGCCTGCTATAAATTTATTGGATTTCAACTTCCACCTGTGGTTACCTTGGCAGGGCCAGAGCGAATGATTCTGTCAGGGCTTAGAGAGCCTGTGGGCTGGACGGCCCCCACCTCCTGCACAGACTTCGGGTCCCTGTGGGGCCTTCACTGTTTGTCCTGCACTTTCCCCATTTCCTGTGTTAACCTCTGTCACTACAGCCTCTCTCCATTTTGTTCTTCTCCTTTCCCCACCCTGTGCCCACCTTGGCTTCCAAGAGCCTGGCTGCAGATGGCAGTGAAATGTGGGTGGGTAGAGTGTAGACGGGTTACTTTGTATTTTCCCTCCTGAAATTCTGTCAGTACCACAACCAAGTCTTCAGCTCTCAGAGTCCTCTGGGCATGGTGTGACTCCAGCGGCAGCCATCTGCTCACCTGTTCCTGCCAAGAGGGTTCCGTGTCATGAAGAATGAAGTTTCTACCGTTTAAATTACTTACCCCTGATATACTCTGTATCTGAATATGATCCCATAGACACAAGAATTTGGTGTATTTGTAGTTGGTTTTTGAGTGATTAGATTGTGACACATCTTTTCGGTACTAGGTGCATAGTGTTCAGTAAGGCTTACAGAATTAAATTACCTTCACTTTCTCCAGTTCCCTGTATTCACTCATGTGGCTCTTACCAAGGACAAAATATGTTAGTGGACAAAATGATCTCACCTCATCCTATTATCTGAAATTGTATACTGTGGCTTATGTATGTATAGTACTGAAAGTTCTTACTGTCCTTGTTTGATATTACTTTTATTTTTGCTGTCAGAAAAGATGTCAAGAAGCCTCTTATGAATAAATATCATGAAAAGTGATCTTTTTCTCATTTGCTCAGGAAACTGTCTTGATGTGAAAAAGGTAATAAAAACATGCTTTAAAGTATTCCTATATTCAGAGAAACATTGGAGATGTGAATACTCTTTCTTAAAAGGGAGATGTCATAGAAACTCAAGTCCAGCAAGGTACATCATGATTTTTACAGGATCCTTTAGAATTAAGAAACACTTTAGGAATGAAAAAAAAAAAATACTTGGAAGTGCAGGTGTGAATGCTTGCCAAGCCGTCTCTGATGGTCACCCGTGGGACTTAGCTGCATGGAAGATGCCGGCTGCTGTTTTTTTCTCTCATGCCTTTGTGACATTTTATGTTGTTTTTGATGATTCTCTTCTAAAACTTTTCAATACCGCAAATTATTGCACTAGAAAGCACAGGAATGAGTGACTTTTCTCTCATCTTTTGAATGTCTCAGGCCAGAACAACTTCATTTTCAGAGACTTACTCTATGGGTTGTGCTAGAAAGTTAAATCCGCCATGAATGACCCAGGATTCATGGAGGCACAGCCCCATGGAGTCAGCAGAGATCTCAGGACCTGACACCCAGTGTCTTTATTTGAGGATGCCCACCTTGGGTGTGCCTGTCAGTGTTTGACGGTGGGCTCTCCCATATGGGGAGCTGTCTGGTTGGGTGTGCTGATTCCTCGGGTGTAATATTCCTGCCTTGACATTACCGGGTGCAGTGATGGAAAGATACACAGTAGCAGCCCCTATGTGGAATTTCCATGGGTTAGCCACTCAGATGCAAATGATTTCAAGAGCTCATTGATAATAACAAGATAGAGTAAAACAATTGGGGCATGAAGTTCTGAATTTATGTTACTTAAAAAAAATCATTTATTTTGATTGGAAAGGCAGATTTACAGAGAGAAGGTGATACAGAGAGAAAGATCTTCTGTCTGCTGATTCACTCCCCAAGTGGCCGCAATGGCCAGAGCTGAGCCAATCTGAAGCCAGACACCAGGTGCTTTTTCCAGGTCTCCCATGTGGATGCAGGGTTCCAAGGCTTTGGACCATCTTCCATTGCTTTCCCAGGCCAGAAGCAGGGAGCTGGATGGGAAGTGGAGCCACCGGGATACTAACTGGTGCTCATATAGGATCCCAGCATGTGCAAGGCAAGGAATTTAGCCACAAGGCTACTATACCAGTCCCTTTAGGTTATTTAAAAAAAAAAACTTTTTATAATTGTAACTTTATATACAATTTAATTTTTAAAAAAGATTTGTTTTTATTATTTATTTATTTTTATTGGAAAGGAGGATATACAGAGAGGAGAGACAGAGAGGAAGATCTTCCGTCCGATGATTCACTCCCCAAGTGAGCACAATGGCTGATACTATGCCGATCCGAAGCCAGGAGCCTCTTCCGGGTCTCCCACGCGGGTGCAGGGTCCCAAAGCTTTGGGCTGTCCTCGACTGCTTTCCCGAGCCACAGGCAGGGAGCTGGAAGGGAAGCTGGGCTGCCGGGATAGAACTGGCACCCACATGGGATCCCGGGCATGCAAGGCGAGGACCTTAACCACTTGCGCCACCGCGCCGGGCCCACAATTTAATTTCTTAAGGGAGTTTTTTTGGGGAAAGATTTTTACTTATTTGAAAAACAGAGTTAGAGAGGAATAGAGGCAGAGAGAGAGGTCTCTTCCATCCACAGATTGATTCCCCAAATGGGCACAATGGCAGGAACTGGGTGAGTTGGAAGCCAGGAACTGGGAGCTCCCTCCTGGTCTACAAGAGGATGGCAGGAATTCAAGCACTTGTTGCATCCTCCACTGTCCTTCCAGGCACTTCAGCAGGGAACTGGGTTAAAAGTGAAGCAGCTGGGATCAGACTTGGCACCCTTATGGGATGCTGGTGCCTCAGAGCGAGACTCAAGCTTTGTGTCACAGTGCTGACCCCTATATAATTTAATGTTTAATAATGATTGTTTTAAGGACTTTGAAAATTTTTTAAATAATTTGTCAATTTTTATGAGTTAGTTTGGGTCAGTTCTGTTGTATCACTGAACTTGAGGTTGACAGAGTCTTAGGATGAAATCAGAACTAGTGCCAAGGTCTCTTCACTCTAGATCACAACTCCAAGGAAAACTACTCCCTGATACGATGCTAACGTGATGGATCCTGACCTCAGCTGTTCCCCCCTAAAAAGAGGTTTTACATGATTATAGCTAAAATGTTGAAAATGGTAGCTCAATGAAGCATAGGAATATTTGTCGGATGTCCCCAGGAGATGATTCAAAGAAAGGCGAGATGATCATGTCTGAATCTTATTTAGAACCGCTGTGGATTGCAGATCAGGTCATCAAAGATTTAAAATAAATGGAGAAGATCCAGGAGACAGAAATGATCCAGGGAGTCTGTGAAGTAGACGATGAGGTTGTAACAGGCAAGACTGCCAAGACGAGGGTGCTGTGGCCGGTGTGCTAGCGTGGCAGGCCTGCTGGGGAACTCAGCCGTTTTTCATGGGTGTCTGGGAGATGCAGTGGAGGAATTCTGGTATTTGGAAGGAAAGTCTCAGTGTACAGCAGCACTTGTGGTAAGCAATGAATGGGAGTATCTCTAGGTCTGAAATGGATCCGTTCCTGACTTGTCCCCGACTGCTCCTAGTCCGTTTTCCTCCATGCCCAGTGTTCAGCATCACGTTGGAGAGCTTGAAGCTGCAGAGGGATTAGGACCTGATTTCCATTGCAGATCACTCTCGCTGTGTGAAGGGAGGGGTGGCCTAAGGGGGCTGTCAAGTGGCCGTGGGGGTGAGCTTTGATGGTGGCTTGGATGAGGAACGGTGTGGTGGAAATGGAGACTCATGCAAATTGTCTATGGACTAGGTAGGATTCGGATGGTGGCAATGAGAACCTCCTCCCTTGACTGGTTGTGGGGTCACTTGTCAGTGCTACTTAGGCCAAAAGGGTGAGCTAGTGATATAGGATATTAGTGATATGGAATACAAAATTTTAAATACAATCAATCAATTAGCTTTTATTATAGTTGGAGTGGAGTGCCCTTCACCACTATGTAATTTTAGCATGTATTTATTATCCAAATCATCATACATTCCCTCGCTGTTACCCTCTAACCTCTGGCCATCACTAATCCAATTTCTGTGTAGGCTTGCCTTTTCTGGAAATTTCAGAGAAATGGAGCCACAGAATATTTCGTTCTTTTTGATTAGCTTTTTCATTTAGCATATATTTGTTGAGATGTATCTAATAGTATTTGATTCATTTTCACTACACTGAATAATATTGTATATACATATAATATTTAACACATATAAATATACGTGTTTATACATGCATTTTGTTTGATGTTCTATTTAGCATTGATAAGAGATTTAGGTTATTTCCATTTTTGTCTGTTTTGACTACAAATAATGCTGCTGTGAACATTCCTGTACACGTGTGGACATGTATTTTTATTTCCCTTGGGTGCACACCTAGGAGTGGAATTGCTGAGTCGTTGGTAACTGTTAAACTGTTTGAGGAATTTCCACTTTTTTCCCAAAGTGGCTGTACGTGTTATCTCCTCATTGGTTTTTAAAGTCAGCCGGCAAGAGCTTCCTGTTGAATAGTTTCCTGTTAAATAGCATTAAGCAAACAACAAAGTGATAATAGGCATGTGGCAAGGATCAGTCAGGTCTGAGAAGGCAGAGAATCTGCCTGAGGTCAGTTGATGCCAAGAAGGACATCACAGATTTGCTCACGAGGCCAACTCATTTGGCACAAAGACACCTGGGCCTGTCCCCATGAAGGGTCACATTTGCACCAGATTAAGCAATGGAGCCGCGCTGCTTACATTCCATTTAAATGCCCCGACTGGATACTGTTGTGTGATGAGTTGAGGATATTGGATATCTCGGTGCACATTTGTTAGTAGGAAAACACAGCACCTGGATAAACCCTGGACATTTGTGAACCTGATGTCATGCCTGTAAACTCTTCACTTTATACTTTTCACTGTGTTGGCTAAGTGGTATAAATTGTCCAATGTGACCCCTGAGCCCAAGCTTATAAACAGAATCCACTTGCTTGTTATCTTGTGTCCTGATCAGTACTTACAAATGTGCCTAGAGCCATGTGAAAGTACAGAAAATTAGAATCTAGCTTTGGTAACTGCTGTTTGGATTTTCTGAGTTAAGCTGCGTTTATTAAGAAACTTTTTTTTTTTTTAACTTGTTGGAAGTTCTTCCTCTCTTTAACTGTTTTTTATTTGTTGCATCTGGGTTTGTCTTTATAGGTAACAATTGCATGTGATGCAGTTCTCAGCTCAAAATCTCCATATAGAAAACAGGACCCAGACACATGGGAAAATGAATTGCCAATATCTAAATATGCCAATAATCTCACCCAACTGGACAATGGAGTTAGGATTCCTCCAAGGTGAGAGTCAAGTGGTACAATGGATCTTACTCCTTGATCTAGTTAGGAATAATTGTTTTCCTACCTCTTCTCAAAATTAGCTCTTTATGTATTTTACCAGATTGCTTTAATGAAAGACTCTGAATTGCCTTCTAAAATGGTCTGTTTCTTTGTAGTAAATGCTGAACGTGCTCAGCCCATACCGCTAAGCCTTTCCACACGCAATTGCACCTGCCACTCTTTGCCTAAGGCCTTTCTGTGCCTGCTGAAGCCTGCTATGCTGGCACATGGGGCAGTCAGAATTAAAGCCAGCAAGGCTCCCTTTCCTCCTGTGACTTTGGAATGGGTGGGTCAACCCCCAGCTCCATGCCTCTCCGGGTGGGATATTTGTCCTGAGAGTTCCTCAGCTGGTCTGAGCCACATCTGCTTACAGTCGTCATTTGTTTACACTCTATACCGGCTTCCTGCCCTTTCCTGGTTCTCCCCCACAATCAGGGATCACCTCCCAAACAAGCTTTTGGATTTAAATCTGTTTTAAACTTAATTCTAGGGGAATCTAACTGACAAAGGTCTCTGCTTGCTAAGTCTTGATTGCAATGATCTTTGGGCTGCATTAGCATCTCTTCTTACCAGGGGATGATGCATTTACAGAGGAAGGTACTAGAGCCAATCAGTAAATGGGTTAGGGCTGTGTCCAGTCTGGTTGGCTTACTGCATTCATGTTCTGCGTGATCTTATGAAAGGGTAGTACTGCTGGGCCTCAGTTTATCCTTCTGTAAAATATAGGGATGGTAATACTGATGGTGAAAGGTGTTTATTAGATAGATTTAGGTTTGCCTTTTTTGTAAGGCATCTGACACATGGCTGCCATTTAATTCAGTGTGGTTGGTTTTCTTTCTGATGAATTTAGGCTTGAAGTGCAGTAAAATATTTTAAAACTAATTTTATTTTATATGGCTAATGCTTTGCACCTTTAAACATGAAAGTTAAACAGATTCATTTATTTATTTGAAAAGCAGAGTTACAGAACGCAAGAGAAAGAGACTCATCTGCTACTTTATTCCCTAAGTGGCTGCATCAGCTAGGGCTGGGCCAGGTATAAGTCAGGAGTCAGTAGCTTCACCTGGGTCTCCATGTGGATGCAGGGGCCCAGGCAGTTGGGCCGTTTCCCACTGCTTTCCCCAGAATATCCGCAGGGAGCTGGATCAGAAGTGGAACAGCTGGGACTCAAACCTACACCAAGGTGGGATGCCAGTACTGCAGTCAGAAGTTTAGCTCACTGCACCACAGTGTGGGTCTTTTTAAACATGTATCTTAAAACATGTTCAAGCCCTAGTCTTCCTTACGTAGGAATTCTGAGCAAAGCATCTGGCCACCTGTTTCCTAAATTGTGCACCCTTTTTCCAAAGTAAAAGAATTGCCTTGGAGATGCCGTGGTCAGGGAGCTGAGTGGCCTTGCTGCTCTGGGAGGGGTGACTGCTCTGTTCAGGGAGGAGGAAATGGGGAGGTGTGCTCTTGCATGTAGCTTTTTCTGTGACTGCCAGCTTGACAGGTGCTGTCACTGAATGTCACTTCTTGATTATGCTCCGGCTGTTCTGACTACTCTCCGACAACTTTCCAGTGGTTGGAAGTGTGCCAGGTGTGACCTGCGGGAGAATCTCTGGTTGAATTTGACTGATGGCTCCATCCTGTGTGGAAAGTGGTTCTTTGACAGCTCCGGGGGTAACGGGCACGCGCTGGAACATTACAGAGACATGGGCTACCCTCTGGCAGTGAAGCTGGGAACCATCACTCCTGATGGGGCAGGTGAGTGTGCCTTTACTGCATTTGGGAATGTGCAGTGGCCACCTTTTAGATTTCAACACTCCCCTAGTCCTTTACCACTGGAGGGCCCAGAGGCTGATTCTGCCTCTTACTAGCTGTGAGATTTGGGGTACATTTTCTTTTAAAAATTATTACTTTGCTTCATTTATTTGAAAGGCACACACACATAGAAGGAGAGAGAGAGAGAGAGAGAGAGAGAGAGAATGAATCTCTGTCAATGGCTGAAACATCTGGGGCTGGGCTAGAAGCTTGAATTCAACCAGGTGTCCAGTTCTCCCACACGGGTGACAGGGACTCAAATCATCATCTACTGCCCTTCCCCCTCCCCCCCCGCCAGAGTGTGCATTAGCAGGAAGATGGAATCAAGAGTGGAGCCAGGATTCGAACCCAGGAGCTCTGATACGGTGTGCAGGCTTCCTAAACAACATCGTAACTGCTGCGTCAACTGGCTGCTCTATAGAGTAAATCTTGAATTCTCTTGAGGACACCAACAGTGTCTTTCTCATGTTTATGTTACTGTGCGTAAAACATTTAATACGTGCACATATCAAGGTCTTAATAAAAGTTATTATGCTTCTGGGTATCTCTTGGCTGAGAGGACAGAGCAGGACACAGGACTTATGAAGTGCCTGTGCATAATCAAGGCTGCTGTCACAATCCTAGAAGGAAGCTTTAGAGTTCATTAATAGGTGAATATCGTTTTGGGGACAAATGGATTAATTCTGGAGAAAAGTCCCTGGCATCAAATAACGGTGGTGGCGTTCACACCTGGGAGGGGATGGAATGGTTTCCTACTTGAGCTGTTGGCTGCAGGATCAGTTTCGGTTCTTTTTGCTTTCACCTAGGAGGTTCTAGGATGCCAGTTTCAATCTGCTTATCCGCCTTTCAGTGAGGAAAGGGAAATGAGGAGACGCTTAAACGTTGGGCAGCAGCTGAGAGAGCCCATCTTTGGGTCACTACTGAGAGCCCTCAGCAAACAGATCTGGGCCAACACCATGTCCTGTCTTCTTTAGTTTTCCAGGCTTTATTTAATCTCTGTTTCTTCTTTGCTTCACCATGAGATGATGGTTTTTAGGAGAAACAAAGACATCTGCCTTTTTTTTGTTGTTTTCTATGACTGCATTCACCTGCCTCCGAGTTAATAAGCCGTGATCTCTTCCCAGAGAACTCATCAGCCATTGCTTTTCTATTAGAATTGGTTTAGTTTCTCGTTTGTTTCATATTTGAGAATTAATGGTCATGTCAGGATTATTTTGTTTCGTGATTTGAAGTTTTCCTCCTTCCAAAGGCCACAGAATTATTTGGATTTGCTGGAGCAGCTGAAAGAGTCCAGGTGCTGGTACCAATCATGAACTGAGTGAGTGAGCTATAATCTGTTGGTTCACTTCCCACCTGCCCACAAGTGCCGAGACTACGGCAGGCTGGAGCCAGGAACCAAGAACTCCGTCCTGGTCTCCTACGTGAATGACAGGGACCCAGCTATTTGTATGATTATTAATTGCTAGGCCAAACATCTGCCCCCCGACTTTAAAATTTGTATTTATTATTTCTTTTTGTGAATTTCTTAGGCTAATTTTTCCAGCAGGTATATGTGTAGGTGTTTTCTCTGTTGGTTTATGAGATCTCTTCAGCTGTTAGAATTTTAACCCATTTTGTGCCATAGTTGTTAGATTTTTTTGCTTCTCCTTGTAAGGAGAACTTTAAAGATTTATCTTATTGTATCATTGAGAATATTTGAATACATACTCACAGTTCAGTCATAAAAGGTACAATATTATTGCAACTACTAAGCAGATTATATGCCCTGTGAAGATATTCTTGAGTTTATTTAACTGAAATAATGTTAACTATTTGAACAATGTTGAGGCTTTCATTCCGGTGTACATCATGTAAGAGTTGGTTTTCCCAGAAATGATTATTTTTTGTCTAATTATCATTTTGTTTTAGCTTATGAGGATGCATCAATTCTGTTTTGATTTCCTTTAAATTGGCTTGATAGATTGCTAACTGTAAGTTGTTGCTTATTTAAAAACCAAATAAGTTAATAAAAACACACATCAAGCTTCCTAAAATGTCTGTTGATGGGTCTTGTGTACAGTAGGGGCAGAGCGCAGGGTGTCCCCATCTGGGGGTGGGTGGGTGGCCATCTCTAGTGGGGTGGCCTTTGCCCAGGGTCCTGCCTGCCACATTCGTGAGGCTGCTCAGGCTAATTCAACTTACGAGAGACCACATCTCAAGTCAGGGAATTTGTTTTCAGTTCATTATGAGAACCACAACTACCAGTGAGTGGGATGTTTATGTCAATTTGACCAGTACATTCCTTCCCTGTGGGAAGTGAATTATATTTAGAAGATTGCTTAGTAGACATGGAATCCAAGGAGGTTGTAGACTCCTAGATTGCTGGTGTGATCTGACAGTTCTGGTTTTCTTTTTGGCAATAAGGAGTTACCTGTAGTGAGAAGCTCCTGCTCGTCTGTGATGGGTAACATTTTAGTTTTTCCAGGAAGCTGGGAGTCTTCAAGCTAGGCCAAGGTGGTGGCATATGTAGTGAAAATGGGCCCATATCACATTCCATGCTGTGTCCCCATGGGTACAGCAACAAACAAACCAAGACACAGGTCTCTATGCAAACAAACAAACAAACAGTTCTCTTCTGGGACAGGAAATATTGCTAGGTGAAGCAAGACTGAGGTTATTATTATTATTTGTAAATATTTATTTTTATTTGAAAGAATGAGAGAGAGAAAGAAAGAGAGAGAGAGAGAGATCTTCTATCTTCTACCCACTGATTCACTTTCTGAATGGCCACAATAGCTGGATCTACATCTAGATCTGGGCCTCCCATGTGGGTGACATATAGGCAATCTTTTTTTTTTAATTGATTTATTTGAAAGCCAGAGTTAGAGAGAGGAAGGGAGAGAGAGACAAAGAAATTTATTCACTGGTTTACTCTCCAGATGACCACAATAACCAGGGTGGATCAGGCTGAAGCCAGAAGCCTGCAGCTCCATCTGGGTTTCCCACCAGGCTGTCTGTGGCCCTGGCACTTGGGCCATGTCCTGCTGCTTTCCCAGGGAATTGGATGGGAAGTGAATCAACAGGAACATAACTAACACCCATATGAGATGCTGGTATCACAGGCAGTGGCTTTATCCCCTACTCTACAACACTAGGCCATTTCTGCTGCTTTTGCAAATTGAATCAGAAATGCAACAGCTGGAATTGAGTTGGCACCTGGATATGGGATTTTAGCATTGCAGGTGGTGACTGAATTGTGCCGCAGGGTGCTAAGACATGGAATGTGAGGAATTTAACTGGTGTCTTAGCTGCTAGGACAAATGTCTGCCCTTTAAAGATTTTTATTGATATGTTTCTTTTGTGAACCCCACGTGGAAGGGAGCCAAGCAGGATGGAAGCTAACAGGGGCGTGATTTTCTTCCTTTGGGGAGGATAGTGATTTTCCTCAGAAGGTGCCTTGGTGTGAGATGGCACAGCTCCCATGCTGCCCCTTGCAGGAGGAGCCAGCCACCCGACCTGGCTCTATAGCTTTTCCAGTTGCTCTTCGCCTGACCTGCGCTTGCGTTCCTGTGACCTGCTCATGTTCGAGGCTCATTCCGGTTGTGACCTGGCTCTGGTGTGCCTTGGTAGCATACATATGTCTCGTGCTGTTTTGCCATGGCACTTTTTACAGGATCCTACCACCTTTGTTGAGTGGTGTTCACTGGACACAGCTGGCCTGGGATGTCACCTTCCCTGTCTCTAACATGTGACAGCTAGTCCCCTGGCCCACTCCCACCATACAGTAGGTGCCCAGGAATTACTTTTGGTGTAAGTAAATGGAGGAAGACCCACCAGCACCATTGACTCCTCATCTTTTTCTTCCTTCCTCCCACCCCAGTTTTATTGACATCTTTACATGCTGTGTTCCTTTTCCGAATGCACTGTAGATTTTGTCTGGGCTTGGTGTCTTTAGAGTGATCATCCCTGCCCCTGACCCCATTTTTTGGGTCTTATTTTTTAAGTGTAGTTGCTGGGGCATTCTCGGTTTCTTTCTTTCTTTTTGTGGTCCGTGTGCTCCAGGTGCTCACGTACTGATGCCTGGTGGACAGGTCCTAGATGGATCAGACCCGCTTCTGAAGAGAACACTTCCTCATCCCCACTTGTCTTGCTCAGTGTTGAGTCCTATTTCTGTGCGCTTGCACTGCTAGCAGCTCTGCAAAGTGGCTTCCCTGGTTCATTTCTCTTTCTAAACGTAAGAATCGGGTTTGGGAAGAAATTAGTTAAAAGACACACACACACACAGAGAAGGGGAGAGATGTCTTCAATCTGCAGATTCACTTTTCACATAGTCACAAAGTGGGGCTGGCTCAGTCTGAAACCAGCAGCTTGGAAGTCTATACGAATCTCCTTCATGGTTGGCAGGGGTTCAAGGACTTGAGCCATCTTCTGCTGTGTTCCCGGATGCTTTAAGTGAGAGCTGGTTCAGAAGCAGAACAGCTGGCACTCAAACTTGAGATGTAATGTTGAAAAATATTTACATTTATTATTTGAGAGGCAGAGAGAGAGAGAGAGAGAGAGAGAGAGAGAGAGAGAGAGAGAAAAGGAGAGGGAAAGCCAGGAAAGAGAGTACTGCCACCACCCTCCAAGTGCTAAAATGCTGGGGTTGGGCTTGGTTGAAGCTAGGAAGTTAACTCAGCCTGGGTCTGCCACATGGTTGGCAGGAACCCACGCACTTGTACCACTGTCTGCTGCCTGCCAGGCTGTGCAGGCTGAGTCCGAGTGGGGAGCTGCTAGCCAGGAATTGAACCCAAGCACTCTGATGTGGCACCTGGGGTGTCTTAACTGCCAGCCTAAACATCTGCCCCTATGAAACACATTATTACCACCCCCCCTGCTATCCCCCTTTTGTTAAAGCAAAATTTAGAGAGAAGGAGAGACACACAGAGAGAAAGATCTTCTATCTGCTGGTTCACTCCCTAGTG